TCTTATATGTGCATTTATGTGTTGATCAGTTAATACCAGTTTGATGGTGAGTACATGTGGTGCTTGTCTTTCCATTCTTGGGATACCTCACTTTAGTGAAACATCTTTTGCCATGTTCTGATTGCTATCTTTCTGTTCAGTTTTGAGAGTTCTTTATAATTGTGAAAACTTGTCTCACCAGATAGAGGTTTGTAAATATTTTCTCCCAGTCTATAGCTTGTCTTTTCATCCTTTATACAGGATCTTTCACAGGGCACAAGTTTTTAATTTTGATGAGGTCCCATTTATCAATTTTTCCTCTTATGGAATATGTCGATGATGTCAAGTCTAAGAACTCTACCTAACCATAGATCCTGAATACCTATTTTTTTTCTAAAAGATGTATTTAGAAAAAAGTTTTGCGTTTAACTTTTAAATCCATGATTCATTTTTAGTCAATTTGTGTATAAGGTATGATATTTAGATCAAGGTTCAAGGTGGGTTTTTTTGGTTTTTTTATTTTATTTTTTTTGTTTTTGCTTATGGATGTCAATTTTTCCAGCACCATTTCTTGAAAAAGCTCTATCTCTTTCATTGAATTGCTTTTGCACCTTTATAAAAAAAAAGTTGGCATATTTGTGTGGATCTCTTTGTGGGTTCTCTAGTCTCTTCCATTGATCTACGTGTCTATCCCTCTGTCGATACCACAGTAATTATATAATAATTCTTGAAATCAAGTAGATTAATTCCTTCAACTTTATTGTTTTTCAAAATTATTTTAGCTATTCTAGTTCCTTTGCCTTTTACATATGTAAATTTTAAAATAATCCTTTCTGCAAAAAATCTTGGGATTTTGATAGGAATTGCATTATAGGTCAGTTTGAAGAGAATTGAACTCTTTACTATGTCCTATATGTCAGTTTGGAGAGAATCAAAATTCTTTTTTTTTTGAGACAGAGTCTCACTCTGTTGCCCTAGAGTGAGTGCCGTGGCGTCAGCCTAGCTCACAGCAACCTCGAACTCCTGGCCTCAAGCGATCCTCCCGCCTCAGCCTCCTGAGTAGCTGGGACTACAGGCATGTGCCACCATGCCCGACTAATTTTTTCTATATATTTTTAGTTGTCCAGATAATTTCTTTCTATTTTTTTAGTAGAGACGGGGTCTCACTCTTGCTCAGGCTGGTCTGGAACTCCTGAGCTCAAACAATCCGCCCGCCTTGGCCTCCCAGAGTGCTAGGATTATAGGCGTGAGCCACCGCGCCTGGCTGAGAATCAAAATTCTTTACTATGTTGTGTCTTCCAGCCCATGAATATGGTATGTCTCTCCAATTACTTAGTTCTTTGATTTCATTCATCAGCATTATGTAGTTTTCAGCATACAAATGGCCTACATATTTTGTTAGATTTGCACCTAAGTATTTTTGAGTGATTGTAAATATTATATTTTAATTCTGGTGTCCATGTATTCATTGCTAATAAGTAGAAAAACAATTTATTGTATTTTAGATGTTTACCTTGTATCCAGAGACCTCTCTGAATTCCTTTATTCTTAGAGTATTTTTATATATCCCTTGGAATTTTCTGCATAGATGTCATCTACAAATAGCATCTGCAGATGTATACAGTTTTATTTCTTCTGATCTGTATGTTTTTTATTTCCTTCTCTTGCCTTATTATAGTGTCTAGAACTTCCAGTAGTATGTTGAATAAGAGTGATAAAAGCAGACTTCTTTGTCTTGTTCCCAATCTTAGAGTGAAAGCATTCAGTCTTTCCCCATTAAGTATAATGTTAGCTGTAGGGTTTTTGTACATACTTTTTATCAAATTGAAGGAGTTTCCCATTTATTTTTATTTTTCTAAACTTATCATTGAAGTGCGATGAATTTTGTGAAATGCTTTTCTGCATCAGTTGTTAGGATCATGTGATTTTTCTTCTCCAATAAAATGGCTGACCCCATTTTCAATGTTTGACTACTGACAGCTTTCAAGCACTACCATTCCCTATTCCCCTCTTCTATACATCTAGGCAAACTGATAAGAAAGCCCAGGAGCTCCCTCTTTTTCCAGCAGCAGGAAATTTAAACCACAAAAGCCCTGGCTTAAGCACAGGAACCTTTAAACCAGCCCCATTCCCTAACCATCATAAAAGCCAAGCCAGGTTCCTTTTCCTAACTTCTTGGCCATTTTTGGACCTGCTTGGGAGCTTGCCTTGCTCTTCCCAGAAAGTTTCAGTATGTGAGTAGTAAACCTTTTCATACTCTGTTGGTGTGGGTGTGTGTGGTATCATTATCAGTCTTGACATCCAAACCAAAGTTTGGGTGAGGGATCCATCTGGCCTCTCTGCAGGATGCATACAATAGTCCTATAAGTGTAGTGAATTACATTAATTTTTAAACA